ACCCCTGCCAATGGAGCCTCCTAGAACCGAGCTGCTGAAATTTACACAACTTGACACCAGGGGGTGCCAATACAGAAAAGCCGGCGCCTTCAAATTATGGCCCGTTTTAGCCCAAGCGTTTCTGGGGGCTGCAGGGCCCCCGCATGGGGCACCTACACTTTACCGGTGCCCGGAGACCCAAGGTGGGAGCCCGGCCCAGGTTGCCTGCCAATGGAGCCTCCTAGAACCGAGCTGCTGAAATTTACACAACTTGACACCAGGGGGTGCCAATACAGAAAAGCCGGCGCCTTCAAATTATGGCCCGTTTTAGCCCAAGCGTTTCTGGGGGCTGCAGGGCCCCCGCATGGGGCACCTACACTTTACCGGTGCCCGGAGACCCAAGGTGGGAGCCCGGCCCAGGTTGAAAATTATGGTATGTGGGGGAGGGGGGCTGTGTTACAAGTCTCATTGGGCCTGAATAAAATGATGCTTGGGTGGGCTGCCACTATTTGCGGATCGGGCCCGACTCCCCCTGTTCCTAGCAAACACCGAATGGCTGGAGGAGGCAGACCTCCCTCCTTGGGGCACGTCTAGGGCCGGATCTTGGCCCTCACGCTCAAACGTCCTGCGAGCAGAGCAGGCCGCGAGCCTGGAATCTCCCTGGCAAAGGGGCCGCGGGGGTGCCAGCGTTGCTAATTCTCACCAATTCACCAGACGCCTGGCTCGGGTGGGTGCTTTTCTGGAAGCCCAGCTCCCGGCATCATGTTATTAGGTGCAAATTGCAGCTTCCTGCAACACGTTCCTAGCCCGCAGGGTTACTTAGACGCTCAAGAACGTGACCGAGCGCCCCTCCAGGATGCAAACAGCACAGGGCCCCAAACATGGTATTTTTCAAAGCCTTGCCACTGGTAAGCCGCCACTCTTGTGATTTCTGGGCTCTGACTCCTGATCTGTGGGCTGCTGCCTGGGATCCTAACAACACTGGGCCCAAGTGGGCAGGACGACACTGTGTCCCGGAGCCAGCGCGGTGCTGGAGTCATGGCGCCTTCTTGGAAGGGAGGAGAGGAACGGAAAGAGAAGGGGTCAGAGCATATGGTGGCATTCGAACACCGACCTGCTAACGCAGGGTGATGCGCTTGGCAATGAACCTGGAGTCAGATCAGCCTGGTCGTTACGCAGCGCGGCCTGAGAACGGGGCATCTGCTCTGCATTTGAGCCGCCACGGGGGGTTGAAGCTGAATCCAGGCTGGGAGGCAGGTTCCACGGTGTGGCTGCCTCCCAATTGTTCTGGGAAACCCTGCAAGGGGCACTCTTATGAGATTTCCCCTTAGGCCCGAGTCTCCCAAGAATGGCTGCTCACGGCCTGAGCGCTCAGTGGCTAGCAGACCCCTAAAGGCGGAGCGGCGTGGAGGGGATGCTCTGATCCAGTCAGATCTTCCTGGAATTTGGGGAACCTCAGTGGTGACCTTCTGAGCAGGGCCCTGCCGTAGGTTTCGATTCAGCCCAGTTTTGCATCTAAAACGAGAGGCAGCCCCCAAGCCCGAAACCCCCAGGCTGGGCGTCGGGTCCTTGCAAAGTTGGAGCCTCGGCATAGCCATAAGCCGCGAGGGAGAGGGCCAGCCCAGCTAAGCGCTGAATGTCCTGGGAGCTGCCGTTCCCAGCCTCCAGAACCCCCGGCCTGCCGGTGGCACTGTCCCCCTTTGGCAGGACACAGCTGGGACCTCCTGTCTG